TAAGCAATTGTGCCTCTTTCAAAATTGTGAATTTCATGGCCTCTGGTTTAAAACATGAACCAAATTCAATTGCGCGAAAGTTGTTACATGATATTCAGGTGACCTATAAGGCCCGTGGGCCTCTTGTTTTTGATTAAAATAATTTTATTGAGATAAAAAAAATAATTCATGAAAAAAAATACATAAACAGACTCCCCTGCATAAAAAATGTCTCATTTTACACACATTGCAATTATACACCATAAATATCCACATTTCCCTCATTTACACAGTTGGATCGATTTAGTGCATATTAATAAATAACAACAATTATTACATGTAAGGCAATTCAATAAATATGTATTAAACTGTTAAATATGTATTAAACTGTTTCTTTTTCATTTAAAGTCACTAGGCATCACTGAAGATTTCCACATATTGCTTATAAGTCCATGACAGGAAGTTGAGAATTAAAGTTGACAGGACATCATGCACTGTGCTCGGTACCAGCTTTTGAGGGAACCAACCTCAATGGACATAGCACGCTACATCATAGGACGATAGGTAAGTCTCTGGAGTAGTGTTTGTAGCAATTTTCGTACTCAGTCCTACATCGAAGCTTCAGGTATTGATATTTATCTCTGCATAGATTCTTTTATGGCTTTGGTTCTTCCCAGAAACATGTGACTGGTGGTGGTGCCTATATTCTTCTGGCTTTTGTTGTGAGGAATACTTCCTTTTTTGTATTGATGTTGATGCAATCATTTTGGTCCCTTTTTGGCATGATTATTATTTAATTGTGCACTTATTGACTTTTTCTAAGAATATGCTATTGTATGTGGTGCACATTTTTAAGTATTATAAATTTTTGTGTTGTTTTATTTGTTTTAGAGCTGCCTGGTCTTTTAAGAGAAACTCCAAACTTTGATGACTGATGGAAAAGCCTCACATCCCCCCACTGCTAAAGAACCTCTTATCGTAATCACCAGCCATTAATCAGCGATCACAGTTATAAAAGCTCCAACTAGTCCAAGGTACATTATCAAGGTCTCTTTTGAAACCACTTTTTACAGTCTCTGACTTTGTTTAAGAATAAATTTTTGGCTAATTAATTCCTTATAAATCAGTGAACTACCTCTTTCTTAGCTAATTAGAGATCATTTATTTGAGTTGAAAAAACTTTTAGCAGATAGCCAAATCCCCAACATATCAACTTGCATTTCATTCAAAAATTTTGTCTAAAAAATTCACTCATTAGATTTTTTAGAGTTTTGAAATGAATATACTGTAGATGAATTTGTACAGAAATTTAGCCTAATATTCAATAATCTCTTAGAAAGGGTTACATCCTATTTTTCAATTTTTCATTCCTTAAGGACAAAGATAAATTTTTATGCCCTAGTATATGAAAGATAAATAACTCGGAGACATTTTGAGCAAATTTCATTTAATTTCATTCACTTTAAGTTGATTTAAAGAATGTTTCCAATTAAGCATAGTGCAGTGCCCCCTTTTTCAGACCCCTTTAACTTTATCTGATTAACTCAAATCTTAATTATTTTACACTAAATCCATATTTTGTTATCTGTGTGGTACATAATTTGCAAAAATTTTATTGAAAACCGCACTTTTAGTTTTATTTAAGGTAATTAAAAAAGCCTTCTAGTGGATGTTAATTCCCGAATGTTTGGCTTGTTCGAGTTGGGTTTAAATTGTGGCACATTAATATTCGAAGAAGGCAGGGCACAATACATCGATCAATTGAAAACACATGTAATGGCCACTTATAATGGTTTCTGTGATATAATACAAATTATACAGAAAAGTAAACACAAAGAACTTCTCAATGATTACGTTGTCACTCGGTTGTTATTTTTTGAAATAGGGGTGCTGGGGAGGATATTTGAGATGTACTCCCCCCCCCCCCAATCCATATCCCTTTCCAATTTTTGAGCGTTTCTAGGTGGAAATTTAACACTTAAAATAAACTGATAAAAGAAGCCTACTTGTCTATGATATTGAACATGGAAATCATATCAAAGAATAACCTCTTCATCTATATTTTCCAAAAGATTAATCTCTCTCTCTCTATCTTTCTCCCTGTGTTTTAAAAGTACAGTAGATACTTAGTACATATAATAATGTACAAAATTTTTTTTTGCGATGCTGCGTGTGGTAATATTTTATCACTAAAACATTTTCATTATTTGCATGTGTGAATAGTTTTATTTTTAATTTTTGGTTATTGTTTTTCTGTTCCCAAAAAGCAATTTCCTATGTTAAACCATCTAGACGTACTTCTCCCTTGTTTGCCTATATCTTTACATAAAAACTCTTAGAGGAATATGATGCTACATGTATTGCAAATATCCATGGACTAAAAATAAGATATCATTACATTTTGTCCGATTTAATATTCCACTACCCTATTAAATACTTGGCCAAAAAAAAAAATGATGTTGATTACGGTAATTGAAAATGTACATGTAACCAGATAAATATATAAAAAAAAAATTAGCAGAATGTTAATCGGAGCTACAACCACATGGTTTATTGATGTTTTTGTATTCACAAAGTAACCTGAGTTTACAAATCATGTGATAAATTGGAATATTAAACAGGTCACAATGAGGTCAATGACATGTAAATACCCGTAAATAGTGAAGATCGAAAACGATCAGCGTTTTTTACAGTATTTCAAAAAGTTTACCCCAAGCGCAGGCTTGCCCATATTTCTCCCTTAATATGTTAAATTTTAAACAGCTAATATTCCCTTTCAATCCTTTGAAGTTTTGAAATATGCACATATTTGTAAAAATTATAAATAAAAAATTATTAGCAACTCTTCAGGTTCATAGCAGGATTGTACAAAAATCAACAATAAAGAAAAGAAAGGGGGAAGGAATTTGACTTTTTACAAAATTCATATTTTTAAACCTGGGAGAGGGTGTGAGATAATTAAATCACATTATTTTTTCTACGTAAAATATTCCATTAAATTTGAAATTAAAAGAGAAGGGTCCCTAGTATGAATAAAGCCATATGTTAACATGTACGAGGGTTGTCCCAAAATTTCGTAGACTGAGCTCATATCTTTGAAAGAAATTAATGTATCTTAATAAAATTTTCAGGGTGGATAAAGCGTGTTCTTGGCAGATAAATTACGAAGTTTTATGATGTTTACTTGAAAACTTTTCGAGTAATAACATTTAAAGTGATATCGTTCTCTGACACCCGGAGCAATCTGCAACGTCAAAAAATACAAATGTCAACAGTTCAAATTTTTGGAGAAAATATTTCAATTACCAGAATCAAATTCTTAAATTAAACGAAACGGTTATAGTTATAAATGTGAAATATCTTAATTACTATGATATTATCAAACATTAAAATATGTAAACAAAGTATATGCATGAACAGGTATGAAATAATAATAATTTGAAAACGCTACATTTCTACCGGCTATTCGTCTGTTTTCTCTAAAGGAGTAACTCAATGCAACTCTTGCCCATTTCTTAGCCCCGTCTTTTATTTTAGCTACTGTTATTTACATATACATAGAGAAACCGTTTTAATAATTTTAAATACTCAGGATGAGAAGAAGTTTCCTAGTCTACCAAACCGTTATGACTGGTACATTTCTGTAAGAGTCAATTCGGGATAAAAACACTTGATCATAGTCCAGTGCGCCGCCTGTGCCAACGCAGCCACCATTTTTCAGAAAGTCGGATTTCAACCTCATGTTTATAAAACGTTATAAAAAATCGTATTTATCAAAGCATAAACACCAAAATTTGGGGAAATGTAGATAATAGAACAGTATTGAAAATTTTCAATTCCATTAAAAAAATACGGACAGTAATTACGTTTCCGTAGGATTTTAAATATAATCTACCAAATTTTAATTGCAACTCTTGTGTATTGCGCCGCCTACCTACACCAGAGAATGAAATGTGTCTTTTAAATTTTAATAATTTGTGTAGTTACTCCATATTTGTCCATAAATTTATTAGATAGTGTTGGTTTAATCTGTTTACGAAGTTTCATTAATGTATGACGTAGGGTTCCTACAAAACAACGCTTGTCTACGGAATTTTGGGACAACCCTCGTATATGCAAAATTTGGAAGAATTCAGCAGAGAAAGAATTCATGTAACACTACCATTAAATACAATAATCTTGAAATGTTTGTACCCCGATTCACATTAGATAAAGCTGCACCTTAATTAAATGCTAGCAATTCAGGTTTCTTGTGCCTGCTTCTTGAAATTTGTTCTGTACGCGTTTTGTTTGTATTGATTCTTTTTAAATTGATCTTTCTTAAGGGATGTGTCCTTTTTGTTTATTTTTAAAAAACATACATTGTTCTAATGCACAATTAAAGAAACACTGAAGTATTTATTGGAAATGGGTAAGAAACCTACACCTAAATAAATGGACTGTATTTGTATAGATTATGTGTCCTAAACTCGAGGAGATTTCAAAGCAATACTTTTTTTTATTATATTTAGACATGATGTATATAGTTTTTACTGTAACCGTACAGGATTGTAGCTACATGTAAAAGGACATTAAAAATATTGAAGGAGGTTGCTGAGTAATGCTCTGTCAAAAATTATTAGTTCAAGTTCATTTATTCACTCAAAACCATTTAAAATACATGGTACATGAGGACAATGAAAAATATTTACAGCATATATATACATTCTGGTCAGATGTATAAGGATATGATATACATAATAAGACAATGAAATTGGAGAAGAAGAAAATGAAGAGAAAAAAGGGGAGGAAAAACAAGTAATAATGAAATGTGAGGAAAACAATTATGGAGGACAGACTAAATCATATATTTTTAATATAAACATACAGAGTTTTTTAAGTGACATAGCATCTTGTTTTGTCATCAGTTGAGAAAATTTAAGAACATTTGGTCTAGTAAAGTAGTGTTTATTAATATACTTTTTCCTGATGATTGACAGTGCAGTACATTCAAGAATAAAATGAAATTCATCAGCAACATGTTTAGCATTACAAAGTGTACATAATCTTTCACTTAATGGCCCATCTTCCCAGCTCAACTGGTAGATGGTGATTAGTAGTACGAAATTTGACAAGTATTTTTCTAAATTTGAATGGCAGAATACTTAAATATTTTTCCACACTCAAAATTTGTTTTAAAAATTTTATACAAAGTACCTTTAGAAGAACTGTTAATATCAGAATGCCATTTTTGTATAAATTGATCTTATAATCTTTGTTTAACAACAGTAGTAACCCAGTCTTGATTAGGATTATAATAAAACTATTCATTCCAAATATAAGAAAGTCCACATGAGTCAAAAACACGATTAACACAGTCAATCCAAGGATTCTTACCAATTTTCGATTGTGAGTTAGCAATTAAATATTGATACAGTATACCTGAAATTTTCTTATCTGTGCTATTCAGTAACTTACACCAGTATGAGACTATTCTTGAATAAATAAGGACAGATAGTGGGAAACGTCCTGTTTCACCATAAACCATATAATTCGGGGTACTACTTTTCAAGTATAGAATATGTTTCAAAAATTTTAAATGAACACGTTCAATAATATTTAAGTTTTCAAAACCCCAAATTTTACAACCATAAAGTAACACTGGTAAAATCATTTTATCGAACAAATCAGGTTGACATTCTACAGGGAGGTTAAATTGTCTTATTTTTCTGATAACACCATGCATAGCTTTTTGGGCTTGGTCACAGAGATGTTTCTTGGCTTTTAAAAAGGAGCCAGATCTTGAAAAAATGATACCAAGATACAGTGAACCCTCAGATATCCGGACGCCAGATATCCGGATGCTTCAGTATCCGGAAGATTTTTCATCGGTTGTAGTGCCATTCATCTTTATAAGTGATTTAATACCCTGATACATATTTGTAATATACATGAAACATTTGCCATTAATTCCATAATTTAAAAGTTGACTCCAGAGACCGTTTCTCCAAACAGTGTCAAACGCTTGCTTGAAATCTATAAAAGCACAAAAAAGTTTTTTCTTACACTTCATCAGTGTGTTTGATAAAACATGTAAAGTCAGAATATGGTCTAGAGTAGAGTGTTCTTTCCTAAAACTTCCCTGATTTTCTTTAATGAGTTCAATCTTGTCTGCGTAAATTTCTAATCGCTTACTTAGTATACATGTAAAAAGTTTGCCCAAGCAGCTCAATAAAGTAATAGGACGGTAATTTTCTGTTTTTGTAAATAGGTTTAACAATACCCACTAGCCACTCATTTGGAACCAGTCCACTATCAAAAATAATGTTAAAAAACATCTTGTACACAGGGTACACAGGTAGAAAGGTATACATTGTTGATGAAATATGTTCATTTACAATGTTATTGAAACCAGATGCTTTTCCATTTTTTAATTTGTTTACTGCTTCAATAATTTCATTTTCATTATAAATAACCGTATTTCAACATATTGGAAAACAAATTTTTCATCTGGAGAGAGAGAGTCTGAGAGAGATGAATTTTTTCTGGAATATTTTGATAAAGTACATGTATGCATATCCAGTAGCTCACAAAATGACATGGTTAGGTACATTTTGTAGGCTTGAATATTACCAAGATTTTTTAATTTCATTTACATGTAACAATATTTATCATTTATTTTGCTTTTATGGATTGATCTGCATAATGATAGGTTTAGAGATTAAAGTTATTATTAAACATGTTAAATATATTCTGATTCATTGAAAAATTAAGGGATACACAAATATATAAGTACTAGTATATCTAGGTAAGTAAACTTTCAAAACTTTTTGCCATCTTTGACTATGCATACCTACGCATATTGGTCCAACACCAGTGATGCTTTGCAATATTTAAAAAAAAAAAATCTTTGCTCATGGAAAAACAGTTGACAAAATTAAAATAAGCAAATAGCCCTTTAATAAAATTGTTCACACTCTGAATAGGGTTTATTTGGCTATTAAGATTTTTTTTCTGTTTTATTAATGGACTCTACATATCAGACAAACTGTTTAAAACAAAATTGTAAAAGTCCTTATTAGCTACATTTACTGAGTGAATGGTTCAAACCCAAAGGTGATGCTTAGTTGATAAGTTATAGGTTAGTTAATTATGAAGTCATGATATCTCTGGAAATTTCATTCATTTATTATTGGCATCAAGGACAAATTAGTGGCATAAATTATGAGCCTACATGTAACCTAGATTATAAGCTGAGATCAGAGCTCGATCCTTTTTTGTTTCAATAGAGAATTTTTGAAAATTAATCAAAGTGGCAAAATCAGGAAACATAAATGACTTGTATTATATTATTTCAGAGAATTAACATAATTAAACAATTTTAATTTTAGTGTATTTTTAATAGCTGCAAGTGTGAAGAAGAAGAAAAAGAGGAAGTCAGGATCATGAAGAATCTCGCAGAAACATTTACAGGAACAAATTTTAAAACTTGTTAAATACAAAAAAGTTGGAGGATGACATGGATGACTATAAAAACCAAATTGGGAATAACCTCAAAAGACTAATATAATTAATTAAAATCTCACACGTTTGTCTTTTATCTAAGAAAATGTAATTATCTGGTAATGCTTAAAAAAATTACATGCACATGTACTAGCTTCTTACATACTTTGTGGATTTAATCATGATTGTAGATTTGTAGTTACTTCCAAAGATGATAGTTTTCAAAATGTTTAATATACTGAGAATTTTATAGTGGATAGTTTGTTTTTTTAATTCACCCATATGAATCAAGATGTTTATTCCATTAAAAATACAGAAAAGCAAAACTTTTGATG